AGGTCTTTGGTTTTCCTCTCCTTCCATTTCGCTTTCTAGCCAGCTAAACCACCTCTCTCTCTCTCTCCATCTTCCAGTATGAGTTTGAGTAATATTGAGTATTGAGGAAGGGTTTTGAGTAGCTGTTGGATTGTGTGCTATTAGTGACTGTATCTTTGTGAGCCCCGGCTGTGCTAATCTCTGTTGTTGAGCGTCGTGGCGGTCTAGAAATGCTATTAAAATTGTACATGGAAACACTTCCAATGTGTCTGTGTGCAGGATTTCTGTGTCTGCTGCTGACAGTTCTGAGGCAAAATATTGTTACCGAAAGAACAAGACAGAAAAAATATATTCCCACATATTTGAATTTGATGAGCAGAGCTATGCTAATGACTAGCCTCTAGACTCTTTTGGTTTCCAGGTAACTGCTCTCCTAATTGGTTTTCATAGACATGGAGGTCTTCGTCGTCCTACTCATCCTTTTTCTTGCTCATTCTCTCCCTCTTTCTTTTCTCCTGCATTGGACTGCTTTTCGTTTGTGCCTTTTTTTCGTTGAGTATTCGAGAAGCTTTTTGTGGATTCTTCAGGTTGGATCTTAAACTAGAGAGAGCACATCAATATTAATGATTCGTTATGAAAATCAGGCCAACGGTTCGTGGCAAAGGAAAAAGAGCACTCAGCCCAACACTGCTGGATTCTGCGTTCTCGTAGCCGTCTGGTATTCCCAGATTTGTCGATCTATATTCCACCATATCACAGTTCATAAACAAGATGTATAAATAGGGTAATCTCCCAGATTCTTGACACCATCCATCCAAACCAGAATTGTGAAGCTTGAAATGTACATTTGTAGAAGCAGCATCAATGAATTAGAAGCTTTTTATTATTTGTATATATTATTTAATTATTTAAGTCAAACTTTTTCATTTGGCAGCACGTTTCAATTATCTTTGTTTATACAATTTTTGGATATTTGTCACCAAATGCAAAGTGAAGCTCCACTTCAAGGTCAGGAAGTGACTCATGCCAACATGCATAATATTAATCTTTTGAATATTCTTTTCAAACTGTGTATTTTAATGTATACATCCAAGTGATTTTTTTTCCCTTTTTTATTGAGTTTTTATATTTTACTGTTTAATTAGTTTGCACCTTTTTATTTTGCTACTGATTTATTTCTAATTTATTTATCATGCAGTTTACTTTCTCTGTATTTTCATATTAAACATATTTATTTATTTATTTAATAAATAACCAGGAACTAGCCTTTATTTCTGTTGTTTAATGGATTATGCCACAAATGCACAAATGCTGCCAATAGAGGTTTTGACATGAAAGATTCCTTTAGCCAGTGGACACACCGTCCATGATCATCCTCTGTATGTTGTTCTCAACCCATAGTCCCAGCCAGCAAATGTGTGTATCATTATAACCTGTACTAATTATTCAGTTTGGCTTCATGGTGTATGGACTGATTTTGTGGTATTATTTATTTAAATATCAGAATTTTTTATGTTTCTTGATGAACTTCAAAATCATATAAGGCCAGGTACATTACTCCATTGGCATGGCATTTTTTTTTTAACTATAAAACTTATCCGGTTTGCTCGTGTATATTAATTGTGTGATGACATATTTCTAATTTATGTTACATGCAAAAAACTTATAATCAAACTTATTATCTTTCTTATTTATCTTACTTATTATCATCATCAAATTATCCAAAGCATTTTTGACCATGCTTCAATATCTGACGCTTTAGGCACCCTTTAGCGTCAGTTAGATGACGCCCTAGGATCGCGTGTAACCCTCATACCCCAGACCTAAACCTACCCGCCGTAGGTTCGTGTCATGTAACTGATGCTAAAGGGTGCCTAAAGTGTTGAATATTGAAGCATGGTCAAAAGGTGATGCCTTGGGGTGAGAATGCGTTGAATATGTGTAGGCCCTATTGTACGAAAGCCCTAGTTTACAAACAAACCACAAACCACATCTCAGTTTCTTAAGTTGACAATAAAACTGACCACATATTTACTAAAGTTTTTATGATAGTAAAGTCTCCTTAAGTGTCAGACACCAAATTTGAACTGGTTCATCACTGCCAGACATGGAGCAGCTTTTGTATTTCACTAAGACATGCCTTTTGTGACCTCCAGAACTAGATACAAGAAGATCGTTAAGAATAACAAGCCGAATTCAAGGACATCTTTGAGATTTGGAGAAAACAACTTATAAGGTCACAAAATAACAATAAGAAGACAGAAACAAATAATAATGCCTACATTTGCTCTCTTCCTCAGATGCACAGGCTATTCATTTAATATACAGGCCAATATTTATGACCTTAGGCCATGACATGATCTTACAGGCTTATGCAAAAGGCAATAACCAAAGCTAGTGGTCTGATATTCTGTCTTTTTTTTTTCCATAGCGTACATTTTCAGAAATATTTTAACTATGTTCAATTGCCATTCCGTTAAGTTGTTTATATGCCCTCTTATTTTTCACTTATCTGTCCTTTTCTTATGCTTTTCTCTCCGTTATGTTCTCCCTTGCTGTCTAATGTGTTGTGGGGCGCCACCGCTGGTTTGTTTTGAATTATGTTATTAACGTTGGGTTGAGCTGGAGCTCACAGCCCAAATTAGAGCGGTTTCATCACTCTCTCCAAGGTTATCCTCAGGCAGGTTGTGCAAGAGGCCGGATTGGGAGATGAGAGGAAAGAAAGAAAAAGTGAAGAGAGCAGAGGGTGGTTAGGGGCTTGAAACAACATATATAAAGACAAAGAGAACAAAAGGGTGAACGGGAGTTGCTGTCAGATACAGCATTGTAATCAATCTGCTTAATGACGACATAATTCAAGCTCATTTGCATTTTATGGAATGTCAGGTTTAATTGTGATTCTGGACATATTTAATGCCAATTATGTCCACAGTTTCAGACAGAAAGGAATGAACGAAAGTGAGAAGACATTTTGAGTTCACGGTGACACAAAGTGTATTATTATTTTATTGTATAGTTGCACCGTTTCAATAGTTCTGTCACCTCTTTCTCTCATTCCACCTCTTTCTCCGTGTCCCTGTGGAATATTGCCTCCTGTTTTCCCCGCTTCTTGCCATGGGCACTGAAAACAATTATGCAAAGAGAGTGATAACATAGACTTTCATGTCGTAGTCATGTCATCCCCTCTGTCAATCAGCAGTCAAAACAAGATGAGACCTGAGACGACAGTCACTTTAGCCCTCTGAACTCAGTGCTTTCCTTCTAATTTATTCAGTTTTTTTTTTTTGTCAGATGTCAGAAAACCACAATAAATGCCACCATTGTCATCCATACACTATATGACACACACGTAAAATAAACAATGTAAAAATAGAGAAATAAAACAGCAAACCTCAAATGAACCAGAGAAAAGTCCACTGTATGTCTGACATGTAATACAGCTTCATCCAGTCCCCGGGAGCTGGATTATTGTATTTGAATTCATATATATTTCTCATATATATATTTAGAAATATCCATTTATTTATATATATATATATATATATGCAGTATGTCTGTTCAGTACATTTTGTACCACATTTCATTATACAATTTCTTGCTTACAGAGGCTGCTAGCTCAGTTCTGGTTCTACGGATTGACCAGGTGTCCGATGCTCCGTCCAAGCCCGACAGGCCAGCCAAGGAGCCCGTTGCTATGACAACTGAAGAGTTCCTCCACTTCAACTTTTATCCTTGCCTTGGCAACGCCCAGCAGTGCGTGACAGTGTAGTCTTCTTATCCCTCTTCTGCAGTCAGAGGGAGATTCTGAGTTGTTTTGGCGGCATTTCCCTTGGATATAATGGTAACTATTCCTGTAGGGGGCTGCGTAATGTATGGGTAACAGATTGCAGCTAGCTTTGTGGGCAAGTAGCATTCAAAGTGGGACTATTACCTGAAAGCAAGTTGAAGCAAATTAAAATTGATTTCTAAATGGTATGTTTTTATGCAGCACTGTTGTGCTCATGTTCAGTGGTTTAATATAGACACACAATAGTCAGCGAACTCTCGTATGAGCACCAAGGGAACACTTAATGTTCTGTTGTTAACTGTGAGTGTTGAACAAGTAGGGATCTATTCTGAAGTATCCTGTGATCATAAGAAGAGTGAAGGGAACCACTAGGGGTTTGCTGAAGATGTTTCCTGGCTAAAAAGAAAATAGAGAAGAAAGAAAGACAATGTAAGAAAGTGAAAAAGGATGGTAGCAAGAAAGAAAGACCAAAAGAAAGAAGGGATGAAAAAAGGAAGCAAACAAATGAAAGGAACAAGCAAAAATAAAAGAGCAAAAGAAAACAAAAGGAGGAAGATATATAGAAAAGAAAGTGAAAGAAAGAGAAAAAAAGGATGGATGGAAGAAAACAAAATGTAATTGAACAAATAAAGAAAAGCATTGTAAAAAAATGGATTGAACGAACGAACAAATGAATGTGAAAAAATGTCAAAGAGCAAACAAAAGGGAAAGAATGACTGAAAAGGATGAACTAATGAGTGAGAAACAATGAATGAAACAAATGAAATCAAGTTGAACGACTGAACCAGAACAAAAAGAAACAAGAAAGAACACATAAAAGAGTAAGACTGAATGCTGAACAAAAATGAATGGAACAATGAAGTTGAACAATTGAAAAAGAATGAGCAAAAAAAGAACTAATGAAAAAAAGAGAATGAAAGATTCCTGCAAGTGAGCGATTACACCATTACGGGGAGCATCTCTCTCTCTCTCTCTCTCTCTCTCTCTCTCTCTCTCTGTGTGCGTGCACTTCTGTGCAGGCGGTAGTGTAGTTAAGCTGCAGAAGATTAGGAAGCTCAGTCCAGACCAGCGCCTGAGGGAGAAGCGAGAGCCCCAGCGCTCAGTTCACCAGCAGGGCAAGCGAGACATGCTGCCCTGGGCACAGAGGCGTTTTATTTGCACATGTGTCTGTCTTGAAAATTGGACTGAGGCAAACTTCATATGACCAGACTGGCCAAACATTTTGACATTGTTGCATACTTTGGAAGCAACAGAAACAAATCAAAGCCTCACAGTCTAGATCAAATGTTCAATTACACAGATCAGACACAGGCCTGTCACAGAAAACGATTTGCAGCATGGTTTAAGTCAGACTGTAAGAATGCTAGTCCGATGTCTATGATGTATAATCAAACCATATACTAGGTTTAATGTCTTGTAACGTCCATCATGAGCTTATCTTTGATGTCTAAAGTTTTTGTAACTTCATGCGTGTGTTTTTTTTTTTACCAGCTTGTATGCTACAAGTTTATTGTCAGGTAATTTCAGACCTCTAAAATTTCTTTGTAAAGCAATACATTTCAGAATAGAGGGAGATAAATAGTATGTCTTTTAAGAACATGGTTAAACCGATCTATCCAGCAGGATATTTCCGTCTTTGTAACTCTCTAAATTGCGCGGAAACCCACAGGGATATATTCACCACACTGAATTTAACTTCAGGCAAAGATTTTCTTTTTTTTTTCCTTCGTGGGCTCATAAAAAGCTTCTTCCCCCCAACTCTCTCGGTGAGATGACACTTTGATGTTCCATATTGTGCTTTTATGTTACTCTATTTAGCATCCTGAGTTTGTTTTTCAGTTTTTTTGTTTTTTTTCATGATTCTCTCCTCTTCTCCTCCTCTATATTCATTCGGTCCCTTCCTCATCTGTTTGTTCCCGGTCCATCTCCTGTTAGTTTGCTCATGTTGTGAGTCACCTTTCATATCCTCTTTTTCTCCTCTTCACTCTGTCATGCACACCTGCTCGTCACTGCAGACGTCACGACACCCACTGCTGTTTTTACCTTCCATCCTTTCTCTCTGTCTTTCCTCTTCCCTCATTTCTCCCCCTGATGATTTCAGTATCACTGTGAAGCTGCTTTGATACAATCTGTAATGTAAAAAGCACTATATAAATAAAGGTGACTTGACTTGACACCTGTGTTCATTTTGGCCGGTCTGCCCTTGTTTGACCTAAATTTACTTTTAAAATTCAATTTTATATCAATTTCCTTCACAATAATTTGTCTATAAACAGGGTGTTCATTGCAGGTCAGCTTGAATTATGTTCATGTAATGTAGAAATTTTACATCCAGAGAAGACCTTTGCCAGGTAATTCTCAAAATGTACTGCAAGCTCTCCCATTTAACAGTGTGATTAAATTATGCAAAATTAACTTTTTTTTTTTTTTTCTCAACGATAAACCAGCTGACTGTCACTGAATGTTCAGACAAGGACAAAGCAATCGTGCGTTCAAAAGAACAGTTATCACAGCACAAAGTCAGGAATCCTGACCAAACAAAACCTCTGCTCTTCCGTAACAGTCGGAACAATAGAGAGATTGGGCTCAATGCAGACTCAACACCTCCTTTTCAGGGCTGTATTTTTAATTAAAGTGCTTTCTGCCCCCTTTTTTATTTTCATTGATATTAAGGTTTTTTTTTTCAGTTTTCTTTCGGTGACATTTTTTTAAGCAGAGGTGGAAAAATTGAGGTGTCATTAATGCATGTTGTGTGTAAATGTATTGTGTGAGCTAATGTGTTTATTTTTTTGGAAAAATAACCTACACTCCTAAAAAACAAATATTCTAAATGGGGGTTTACAGAAATGGCACAATGTTTGGTTCCCTAAAGAACCAATCAGTGAACAGTTCTTCAATTATTATTTTTTTCTTAGTTTGAAGAACAAATATTCATTTTAAACAACCTTTTGTGCAATGGGTCCATGGATGTTAAAGAACCATAGTTGCGAGAAAAAAAAAGAACCTTTTTTAAGAGCGTACACCAAATCAGCAAACTCTTCCACCTCTGCATAGCAGCCTGTGGTGACCAGTATGATTTCTTGCTCCTGGGTAATAAATAGAAGGCTTTAACACTTAGCACTGATTAGCGCAGCCAATCAGGGACTCGGACTGATGCAGCAGACCCTCCCACACTGAGCAGCTGGGCCTGACCATTTGGTTTTGCATATATGTATTTTTGCAGTTCACATTTGCCAGGTTGATTTAGAGGTTCTTCAGGACATCAACTGCAGCAAATTATATACTGTACATTCACCTTTTGAACCACCTGTGATGTTCAGGTCATGAGAAGGTAGTCCATAACAGCTCAATGATAAGTTTCTGAAGACTCTTTAGCTCTTTAGCTTAAAACCCGTCCCAAATTAGCAATTCGCATTCATCTTTGTGTCCGTAATAGAACCAATCCCTCATATGCTAACACCTTCCCCCATCCAGCCTTCCTCGTTCCTCTAGTCAACTGCTCCCTACAGCTCTACCCCGAGGGTAGGTAGGGCATCTCATTGTGGTAGTTATAGTCTGGACAGACCTTCTGCACCAGTCGGTAGTCTGTGCTGTAGAATGAAATGTAGATACAAATGACCTTAAAGGGTTTGGAGCAGATCCAGGACACATGGCTTTGTGTCTGCTCCTGGAAGCAGGTCTTGGAGGGGTCGTAGTTGCAGAGCGAGGTGCGTTTGCTGCGGTCCACCTTCTCATAGTCTATGCGGCAGTTGAAGATCTTTGAGTCTTTGGGGTAGACCACGCTCTGCCGCTCCAAGTCGAACTCCACAGCCTTTACCGGAGGTACCAGGCTGACTGAGATGTTCCCCTGGCCGGTGGAATTGTGACGGAAGTAGACGCTGAAGTGCCGTTCCCGTGATCAACGATCTTACCCGTGATGAGCAGGTTGAGGCGCACTGTCTTGATGTTAGAGTAGAAGTCGCCCCAGCCAAACATCTTCTTAAATTTGCCTGTTTTGACGATCGGGGGGCGGCGCTTCACACGGGAGTTCCCGGACTCATCCGTGTCCGTTTTGAGGAGGTCGCTACCCAGCATTTCCCAAAATTCCTGTTTGGAAAAGGGCACCGGAGAACGATAGGGCAGCTCCATTGTGGACGTGTTGGCAGCTCGGCCACGGCTGTGCATCACCCAGCGGCTCAGGGGTGAAATCGAACCCTGAGATCCCAGAACGCCAAGAGTTTTGGAGGAGTCTGCTGGGGAGGAGGCCTTTGACGTAGATGAGGGGAAGGAAGAAGCTGACGAGGGGGTCTCTTCCTGCCTTAGAGCCAGCTGGAGGAAAGAAAACAGGAGCAAGAGTGAGCCAGTTAGTGGAAGTATAATAGAGATGATGACATTTTAAGAGAGAGGAGGTTACACAGACAGGAATTTGAATAGAAACTAGATTTGCATTTCCCAAAGGAAATAGCGGCATTTGCACGGAAGCAAAAGAACAGTGTTGACGTTTACTTATGCTTAGGGTTTAGACTGTTTTTGCAAAAAATGTTTTTTTGTTTTAAATTTCTATAAGAAGCCAAAATGTGCTGCACACCTAAGGCTGAAATCTGCAAAACAAAGTTTGATTGGAGTCAAATTATGGAATGTATGTTGATTTGTTTTGAAACTGTTGAGAAGATGAATAATAATAGAATGTGTGTGAAATATCAGCACAGGAATTCTAATGCAGTGCTTGCCTTGCAATATAGCATTATTTGAATGTCTGAATTGAAAGCAGAAAAAAAAGAACTGCTAAAAGGGAACATCATTAGCACTTAGAATCAACATTCACCCACAGAAAAGCGTCATAGATAAACATGTCCAGGCCACATTAGACTCACGTCAACAGGAATAAATCTCTGCTATCTGACCTCTCCTCTATACTCACTGGTTCGCTATATTGCTTTATATATTTTGTGGGAATGGTTTGATCCCTTTATGGCTGTTAGAGTATAATCTGTTTTTACAGGAGATCTCTAGGACTCCCAGAGCCAATTTGACTAAGAGAGAGAGAGAGAGAGAGAGAGGGGGGAAGAGTGCAAGCCACATTCATTTTAAAATTAACTTTAATACATTTTAACATCTTATTTATTGAGCAAAGCCATGAACAGATAGAAAATAATAATTCAGCAGAGAGTGGAAGAGGTTTTGGGATGAAAGTCCAAAAGGAAAGAAGGATGTTGTTAGATAAAATAGTGTTAGTGAAAATGTGTATCACACAGTATATAGAGGGTTGTGGAGGTGGAAGAGAAGCCTCCTTATGTGGGCTCATGGATAGGTGAAGACCCCCAGAGTGGGCGTAACTGGTAATTACGGGATGGTAATGATCTATTTGAAAACATCTCATACACAGATAATCCTACAAGAGCTCTCATACCTTGGATCAAACAGTTGAATGTGACACTTCACAAGTTTGTGTGTGAGTGTGTGTGTGTGTGTGTGTGTGTGTGTGTGTTGCAGAGTGTCAGAAAACAATGATGCTTTGATGTATTGTTTATTATCTGATGAGCTCTAAATTCTTTTTGGTCTGTGTCTCTGAGCCACAGGCCTGAGCTGCATTGTATCCGCATGGTCAGGTTCAAAGCAAAAACTCCCCCAAAAGAAACATTCGTTTCTAGGAAACATCCTCATGCTGTACAGAAGCTCTCTGACTACACCAGAGACAGAATCACTTCCACGTTTATGGGTTGCAGAGACCTTGTGAGTTGGGGCAACATGAACCACAACCAAGAAAATTAATTCCCACTTCCAGTTGTGTCCAAGTCAACTGATGCCATCTCACACTACCAATAGTCATGTGACCTCTTGTCTTCACCTCCATCTGTTCCAGGGCATAGTCATATAACTGAGACTTGTCCCTGGAGTGCCAAGTGTCTCTGAACCTGAGGTAGGTTCAAAGAGTAGACACCATTTTAGTTGTGCCTTTTGTTGTTGTTGATGATTCGCCAAGATGGACTGGTTTTTGTAGCGTTGCCAAGTTTGATTCATTTTAGCAAATCAAATTTGTACAGCTTGATAAAAAAATGGTTGATCAATTTGCTTGATTTACATCGTTTTTTTTTTAGTATAATAAACACTGGTTGGAAGTTAGGATTTATGTTTTTGAATTAGTTACATAGATAGATTGTGTAAAGAGTAGTTTGGCTCCAAGATGTCATTCGACGGAATATGACGGAAAGGACAAAAATCATATTACCATTATGCTCTCAGCTGCTTGCAATACAACTATTGAGATATTAAAGAGATATGTGAATTTTCTTATCAGTAGGTATGATGATGGTTTTGTATGCCAAGTGTAAAAACGAATAACAAGGAAGAAAGGAAAGAAAAGAATAAGGTAGTGCCTTTAGAGACCTTATTTCAAACCCAAAATATATGTCAGTCCACCCTCACAGTAAATGTATGCAGTCATTGTCAGTGTTTGAGGATTCTGCCTATCTTTGTGTTTGAGAAAGAGATCCTGCTGCCAGACTATTTAAGCATATATTCAGACAATGTGTAAGTGTCTAAGCTATGTGTCTGTCTGTGAGTTTATATATATATATACATATACATATATATATATATGAGTCTGTTCTCTCTGTCAGGGCAGGCCTGATCCACTGAGCTTAAGGATCTCTCTCTTCCATAATGCATGCTGCCCTGTCTCAACCCTGATCCTTCAGCCCACTCTGATGCTTTACGCCCATCTCATCTCTTCTTATGCAGGCTTATTCCGGCTTAATCAGGCTTACTCATGCCTGATACTCATTTTACTTTACTCTAAGTGCCTATCTCCAATCTTGATAAGACAGGCTCCATTTTATACAGTACGGATTAGCGCAACACGCTCTGGCTAATTCAGTCTTCTGTAGTCATGCCCGTTTTTCTTTTGGCCCTCAGTCACTTTGCTTGGATCTTGCGTGGTCTTTATTGTGCTCTATAAAAGAGATCCCTATAAAAGAACATGTGGATTAATAATTGGCCTTGACGAGCATGTAACGCATCTACGTACTGAATAATTCTACATTAGCTCCATTGCAGATCTACTAATCTGCTCAGCCGCTATGCAGAGCAGGTCTTGCATCAATGTCACGCTGGCTAATTGGAAGTATAAATATTAAATTGTATTATTATGCATAGAAACACCTGTCTTGGCGAGCCTCTGTATTCAACATATTGATGACTGCGATATGCGCTGAAAGTTTTGCCTAAACCTTGTGAAAATGTCATCAGACATATTATATATTGTACAAATATTTTACCGCTAAATTGTATAAATCACTGCTGTGCCAGGTAACTGATTTCCTACATCTTTCTTTTTTATATCAGCATGTCCTAATCACACTGTCAGGGTTTATTTTGTGATGATGTCCAGCTGACTACTGTACAATATCCCATGTTGTCACTCTGTCGAAGGGATTTTTTGTAATGATTGTGGATTGCATTTCCATAATTGACTGGAGAGACACAACAATTTCTATTACAGTCTGTTTTACGGCCCCCTATTCATCTCGGATCAGTTTGTAAGACTTACTTAAAACACTAATTTCTTTAATATCTTTTTATTTTCTAATTCTATATTGGGTTAAAAGAAATGGCAAATGCTACTGTTTATAAGTGACACACACACACACACACACACGCACGCACACGCACGCACACAAACACACGCACGCGCGCACACAAAATTTGCTGTGTCCCTGTGCTGTATGATGCAATATTGTTTTCACCAAATAAAAGCTTTGTTCTTCATCCCATCCTTCTCTAGAGGAGTAAACATTCCAGTCTGGATGCACTATTTTGATTTGAGTGATGTCACTTTCTTCCACAAGGCAGAAGTTATTCTGGAATGTCCTGTATGATTAATTAGTCAATCAGTCATGTCCTTTTTTTTTAAGAAAAGTTGAGATCTTGGAATGTTACAATTCTTTGTCTCTTTGCTCCTCAGTGCTTATTTCATTTGTGCTGCTCAAACCATCTTTAGAAATGGCACACAGGAGACCCTGCAAGTAAATCCCATTTCTCCCATATCTCCCTGGAGAAGCATCTCAGCCCCAGATTAATAATGAACAAAAATAAAAAAGCAGGTAGACACATTGATTTTAATCTATTCAGACTTCACTCTCATTTTCTTCCTTTTTTTCTCACAGAAGAGAGGATGACTATGAAGCGGGTAAGAGGACCAATCACACCATTATCCCCCTGTTTCTATAGCCTGATCTCAATTTCAGTCCCAATCTCTCTCTCTCTCTCTCTCTCTCTCTCTCTCTCTCTCTCTCTCTCTCTCTCTCTCTCTCTCTCTCTCTCTCTCTCTCTCTCTCTCTCTCTCTCTCTCTCTCACTCTGAGAAAGTTGACTTCGCACATTGATCTGTGGCCAGTTTTCTTCACCAAGCTTACACCCCTTGACCTCATCAAGAGTAAGTGAGAAAACTGAAGACAGAAAGATATTTGTTAAAGTAAATTATGAACAATTAATTACTTAATAAATGTATTACTAAATAGAATGACTTGAGCCAGGTGCAAACTTACAATTTACAAATGTACTAAATCCTAAAAGATACCTCTGATCCTTGGCTAAAATCTGAAGTCTTTGATTGTTAGTTTAAGATGTCCATCGACAGCCGATTAAAAAAAAAAAACTTTTGCTGATAATTTACTGACCCCCTTGTCATCCAAGATGTCTATGTCATTCTTTCTTCAGTCGAAAAGAAATTAAGGTTTTTGATGAAAACATTCCAGGATTTTTCTCCATATAATGGACTTCAATGGGAACCAAACGGTTCAAGGTCCAAAAGACAGTTTCAGTGCAAACTGCAAACTGTCAAAGGGCTTTTGCTCTGTTCTGTGATGCGCATTCGTGACTCTCCTGTTCGAACTCATTCATTAAAATTAACAAATCTTTTTCCGAGTCAATTCGTTCATTTCGTTTGTTGAATGAACCAAATGATACCAAAAAATATTTGTTCATTTTGATAAACGAGTTCAAACAGGAGAGTCACAAACACGCATCACAAAACAGAGCAAGGCGAGCATTTGAGCTTATAAAATTTAAACTTTGTTATTTTTAAAAAAAAATGAGATCGTTTCGCTTGATAAGACCTTTATTCATCGTCTGGAATTGTTTAAAGCCCTTTGAACAGTTTGCAGTTGAACTGAAACTGTCTTTTGGACTTTGAACCGTTTGGTTGCCAGTAAAGTGCATTATATGGAGAAAAATCCTGGCATGGACTTAATTTCTTTTAAAGGTGCCATCTTGCACATAAAATCAAATCATATTTCATATTACATAACGGATGGGGGCAGTATACCTCCA